CCATTTCACATCTCCACCACAAACAACAAAAATCGCATCCACACTCCCTCGCACGTGCCACCAAAATTTCACCGTCTACGTCTACGATCTTCCCATAGAGTTCAACATAGGTCTCCTCCAAAACTGCCGACACTTGAACATCTACACGGACATGTGTCCGCACGTGGCCAACAACGGTCTCGGACAGCCTCTCCGTTTAGGAACGTGGTTCGCGACGCACCAGTTCATAGCCGAGATGATCTTCCACGCACGTGCGTTGAACCACCCGTGCCGCACGTTTGAGCCAGACAAAGCCGACATATTCTACGTTCCTTTTTACGGTGGGCTCTACTCTTCAAGCGTGTTCCGAGAACAAAACCTAACGAAGCGCGACGAGCTAGCCGTTAGATTAGTCGACTACGTTAGTGGTCAACGATGGTGGAAGAGAACCAACGGTCGTGATCATTTCTTGGCGATTGGAAGAACCGCTTGGGATTTCATGCGATCAAGTGAAGACCCTGACTTTGGTGCAAACATGCTCATGCAAATGCCACGTGTCATGAACATGTCGGTTCTGACCGTGGAGAGGCAACCGTGGAAAGGTGACAATCAGTTCGGTTTACCGTACCCTTCTTATTTTCACCCGTACACGTCAGCAGAGATGGTGACGTGGCAAGACAAGATGAGAAGAGTCGAGAGACCACACTTGTTTAGTTTTGTCGGTGGTCCGAGAAAGGGCTTGGAGAAAGCAGCCATTAGGGACGAGCTGATCAGACAATGTGCCGGCTCGAGCCGCTGTGAGCTACTCAAGTGTCAAAGTGGAGGGTCCAGGTTAGACACCTTTTACTTCTTTTTTGACTTTGACAATATAAAATATATTGATAGTGTTATATGTATCTATTTTAATTGTCGTCATTAGAAAATGTTTTAAATTTGAGTCTTAAAGCATAATTTGGTCAACGTTTTTGTTCAGGCATATAATCTAACCTTAATCACTTGGTCAATGTAGGTGCCACGACCCGATGGTTGTATTAGGAGTGATGGCTCGGTCACGGTTCTGCCTACAAGCACCAGGGGACTCGTTCACGCGCAGATCAACATTCGATGCAATGTTAGCCGGATGCATACCGGTCTTTTTTTCACCCCACACTATGTATACACAGTACATGTGGTATCTTCCTGACGACAGAAGAAGTTACTCAGTGTTCATGGACAATAAGAACAGCACTCAGATAGAACACGAGCTCTCGAGGATCTCGGAGAGCGATGTGGTTAAAATGAGGGAAACGGTCATCAATTTGATACCGAGACTGACTTATGCGCACCCAAACGCAACTAACTATGATTTGCCAGATGCGGTTGATGTAGCGTTAGAGGCACTAGCTAAGCAAGCAAGGGCCAAGGTTGTGTATCCATTGTAACCCATATATATAGATTTGTTGTCTATTTGGGATGTAATTAAACGCAAAGACTCAATAAGTTTCATAAGAGTGAGATTAATGTGGGGATAAAAACTCACTTTACTTGGGAGCGTCGCGGGCATGACCCAAGCAACAAGTTGCATCTCAATGTCTCTAATCGCATTCAGAAGTAACGAAATCGCATCTCAATCATCATTATAGCCGCCCTGGATCCACAAATAACAAAGACATCAAAGTAGAAGTAAGCACAAAATGATTAAGAAAGTGTTTCAATGAAGAACTAAGAATAGTTCTCACAATTCTTTTCTTTTGGAAAGAGCTTTGCTTTGGGAAATATGTATTGAAATCAAGATTAACGCCTATAGCAAATGCAGTAATAGCTATCATCAAGTATTTGATCAAACTTGCACGATGATAGCTATTGCTGCATTTGCTATAGGATAAAAAGACCATCCCAAGATCGAGATTCTTTCATATGAACTTGCAATGAAATCTAAGGAAATTTCAATTTCTTTCATACCACTATCATATACAGGAAGAAGATTAACGAATTGCTTTGATTTCCAGAGATGAAGAAACAAGCCAAATCAGTGATTACCTCCTCTGTTCTGATCCCAATCCAAGAGCAGTGATCGAGCTTCTGATGTACGGACACGCCTTCGCAGTTGGAGCTTGATCTAAGTCCCGCGAGGCGATCAGATTTTCACTCAATCGAACGGAGAGATCGAGCTTCTGCTGTCAGATTTTCACTCCGTCGATCGATTCGCGAGAAACAATCGCCGGCGAGAATCGTCGTTTGACGGCGAACGGCCAGAGAACTCCGATGGTACAGAGATTTGTGAGATTCAATTCCACCAATTTTGCTTTTGCCGTAGCCCATTATTGTTTTATTGGGCCCAAGCCCAAAATAGTTGAAGCTCAAATTGTGTGTCTAAGAAAGAAAAATAATCTTCCTTTGACGATCATAATAGAGAATGTGTTTGGGACAAACTAAAACATGTTATAATTGTATAAAATTATGATCTATATAATATAAGTAATCAATATTTTGGCAATAAACTGTTATAGTTTTCATTAGTTTGTTTAAAAATTTAAACTTGACATTTTACAAAATACCATAGTCCTATAATACGTTTTTTTTTTTGTTTTTTGGTGTCAAAAGCTTACTAACCAATTAAAAGGTTCAGCAATCCAAACTGATGATATATTTACGTAAAAAATATCATACGAATACAATTTAGCATTTTGTGTCTACATATCCTATAAGGGTTATAGAAAACTCCGCGAGAACTCCATTTTGCTTCTTATAAATTCTTCCAGGTAAACTGGATTATCGTACGGATACAATCAATACAATTTTCTTCTATAACTTAAACTAAACTAGCTCTATGAATTGTGATGTTGAGTTTGATAAAGGCGGCTAAGAAACCGTTGATAATTGGCATAAGAGAGATCATTGAAACTTACTAGCAATCTAAATAGTATGATTGTGAATCACAATTTGTGATAATATTAAACCGGTTAATTAATATAAATGCATGTAATTTTCAGATATTTTTTGCAAATTCATTTTTTTGGGTCGAATGTTACATATGTATATAAATTTATACATTTTTCAAATTGATTTGGTTTGTCTTACTACAAACGATAATTTTTCTTTCTTTAACGTGTGAGAGTTATTTATTTCATAAAGAGAAGAGTACACGAATCAAAAGTTGAAAGAAACTTTCTCCTCAAAACACAGCAAGAACACATCACTATTCTAAAATAAAGAGTAGATGATGTTATGATCTAAGACAAGAATTTGTATATAAAATAAAGAGTAGACCAGCAGAATCGTATCGTGGCACAAGGATCTAAGACAGAGACTCAGATCGGTTCAGCTTTAATGGCCGAAGCTACGGCTTTGAGAGAGGCGATAACGCAAGCACTGAGAAGAGGATTTGATAGCTTCACGATGATCTCAGACTCACAACAATTGATCAAGCTCATCAACGCGGACAAATTTCACCTAGAAATATATGGAATTGTCAAAGATATCACCGGGATGTGTCCTTTGCTTTTGTCTCTAGATCTAAGAATATTGAACCAGATGCGATCGCAAAATCTGCATTGCTTAATGTAACCTCAATACCGGGTTTAATACCGGTTTAATTAAAACCACAACTTTTCGACCAAAAAAACCCCTACTACAAATAATAATTTATCGATCAAATTTAACTATTTAATTGAGTTGAGTGTATGTGTATGTAATTAAATATGCAAATTATTAATTTAACTACGATGTACTTTTTGTTTGGGTCTCAATACGGTTTGTTTAGGGACACGCGTGTGGAGAGTCAGAGCATGACAGCATGTGGATGCTCAAATTGCAGAGAAGATTAAACTCTTTTATATGCATACCATTTTATAATAAAACATAAATTCACAATTTGATGGACATCATCATAATGTTGTGTCTCCCTTGTAATGTAAACTTTTGAAGAATACAAATTGCTTTTACAACA